AGGGGGACAGCTTGAGGCTCTGTCTCACAAAAAAAAAAAAAAAAAAAGATGAAAGGAGTGGCAGAGAGCTAAATTACCCCATCCCCACTGACTCAGGGCTGCAGGGAGGTGGCTTCTGCCTACCGATGGGGGAGCTGCCCTGCCAGTGTCAATCAGGCAGCACTGGCTGGGCCTACTAGCTGCTCCCAAGTCACTCTCAGACTCTCCAGGGGTGTGAATTCCTGAACCTCCCCAGAGCGAGGCGTGGTCAGAGTACCAGGGCTGGACTGAGTGCCCGGCAGAGCCACCTGGGATGAGTTTAGAGCGTCAGATAGAGGCAGAGGGTAGGGGTGGGGAGAAACAAAGACAGCTCCTGAGGGTATGAGCATCAGGTGAGAGCAGCACTGAACAGACAGCTGCTCTGCCCCCAGTTTGTGGGAAGATAAAAGGTTCAAATGACTTGCTGGGAAATGAAAAATCTGCATTCTTTTTTATTTGTTTGTTTGTTTGGCCTGGGCTGGGTTTAAACCCGCCACCTCCCGGCACCTCCTGGTGCCCTACCCTTTTGAGCCAGGTGCCTCCCAAAATCTGCATTCTTTTTCCCAGAGGGGCAAGGGATGAAGAAAAATATTCTCCTAGTGGCCTCCTCTCTTTGCCCTTGAGTTTGGGTGACTCCTGCCCAGAGCCCTGGCTTTGGCCACTGCCCCTCCTCACACTGTTCCCATTTGTCTCCTCATTTTACCTGTCAGCTACCCTGATAGTCAGGACACTTGACATCAGACAGATGAGATTGACACCTGCTAACTGGTCACACACACAGTTGGGGGCAGGGGACACAGTATCCAGGGCTGCTTCATAGTAGCAAGAGGGGGAGGTGCCCCCATTCTCTCAGGAGGAGGTGACTGGCCTGTTTGAGAAATTCTTCAGCCTGGCAAGCAGCTGAAACCCAGTAATGGAGAGAAGCAAGGCTGCCCTGTTCCATGGAAAGGGGTCTATCTGGCCACGGGATGTTATTTGCAGGAGCATAGTGGTATGGTGCTAGAAATAGCTCATGACTTTGGACCTCCATTTTAGGCTCCATCACTCTCCTCTGCCTCCTCAGCCCTCCCTGTACACAGCAGCACCCACTTGTGTGTCTTCTCACCGATCCTGGAGATACTGTCCTGGCTCTTTGGTGTCAGGGTGATGCATGGTCCTAACCTCTGCCCTGACCTCCAGCCTGACCCTGAGGTGCCTGCTGTCTAGAAGATCACCCACCACCCCAGCTCAGCCAGGCGATAGTGCTTCTATTAACAGGGCCCTGCACGCACCCTGTGTCCCAGAGCCCCTTCACTTAGTCTCAGACCTGCCTATCATCCCTTGAAGCATTCCAAGGCTCAGGGCAGGTCCTCTTGCTAGTGCCTGCCTCCCTCTGGCCCTGGGCCCTGGAAGGCCTAGGATAGGCATCCTCAAATTATGGCCTGCCGGCCACATGCGACCCACCTAGGACATTTATCCCACCCACCAGGTGTTTTTGCCGCTGCTGCCTGTCCTGCTTAGCATCCGACTCATCCTGGGGCCCGCAGTCCAGCCCTCCAATGGTCTGAGGGACAGTGAACTGGCCCCCTGTTTATAAAGTTTGAGGACCCCTGGGGATGTGCAGGGTGGGTGGGGCCACAAGGCGGCATTGTTGGGGAGCGAGCATCAGAGCGCATCAAAGCTGTGTTTACACTGAAGGCTGAGGCTAACTGCTTTTACAGCTTACAGTGACCAGTGGATGAAGCAGGCAGAGTCTTCCTGGGGGTCTTGCAGGATGCTCAGCACATTAGGACAGTTTTTCAGGCCCAGAGGGTGTGTAGGAGCCCAGCACTCCCACAAAGACCGGAGCTGGGGACTCAGAACCACACTCGGAAGGCCCAGGCAGCAAGGGCCCCACAGGGCTCTGGAAGTGAGATCTAGATTCAGGTGTTGTCTCTGTGCATGCCTGTGCTTCTCCAAAATCCTGGTGGTCAGTTGGTACATCAGACCTCTCTGGATCAGGGACAAACGATCAGAGAGCAGCAGGGAAGCCAAAATCAAGTTGTAGGGTTTAGGGCTTTGGCCTCCAAGCCTGGCCCATGGACCAGTACCAGTAGGTGGCCTGTTAGGAACCAGGCCACATGGCAGAAGGTGAGCTGCAGGAAGCTTCCTCTGTGTTTACAGCTGCTCCCATCACTCGCATCACCACCTAGGCTACTCCTGTCAGGTCAGCAGCAGGGTAAAATTCTCACAGGAGCAGGCACCCTACTGTAACTTGCGCCTACGAGGGGTTAGGCTATGCTCCTTATGAGAATCTAATGCCTGGTGATCTGAGGTGGGGATGTAATACACTTGAATCAGCCCAAAACCATCCCCCCACCCCGAGTCTGTAGAGAGATTGTCTTCCATGAAACTGGTCCCTGATGCCAGAAAGGTTAGGGCTGCTGCTTGGGGTATCCTGTTTGCTGAAGGTATCCTTAGGCGGGGATCCTCCCTCTATGTCCATACCCAGTGTGGGGATGGCTCTTACCCTTCAAACCTGACACTGACTGCAGAGACATAGACACCAGCTCTGGACTTGTGTAGCCTGCCTTTTGACTTAGAGCAAAAACCTGGCACGTAAGAGTTTACAAATTCTATTAGATTTCCATTGATGCCTTTCTCAGTTGGTGATCCTAGTGCATGTTAGTGCACCTCTGTGTGTGGTCGTTATTTAGTCCATGCCTTTCTCAGTTGGTGATCCTAGTGCGTGTTAGTGCACCTCTGTGTGTGGTCCTTATTTAGTCCATGCCTTTCTCAGTTGGTGATCCTAGTGCGTGTTAGTGCACCTCTGTGTGTGGTCGTTATTTAGTCCAGAGAGTAGCGCTAACAAGCCCCTCCGGTTGTCTCTAATCTCTCTGTCATTCTTGGCATCAGAATTTCTCTCCATTCCTATACATTCAGGAGATATTTGGTGTCTGGACACTGCATGGTGGTGTGTGGATGTTTAAATTATGAAAACAGAACCTAACAGGTCTTGAGCACATGCAGATTTTTATAAAGTAAGTCGAGGAACCTGAAAACCAGGCTGAATATTGAAGGAATAAATAAAGGAATGAAAACAAGCCACTGATTATATGCTTACAGGGCAAGATGAGTGACTATGAAAGTGGATCTCCTCATCACCTTTGGTACTAGAGGGAAAGCAAACAGTTCTCTCAATGAATCCATGTTAGCATTTTAGCTTTTTTTCAGGATTTTGACAAATGTACATCTGGCTTCCTTTGCCCAGCTCCAGTGGCTGTTAGACAATTACGAAACCGCAGAAGGTGTGAGTCTGCCCAGGAGTTCTCTGTACAACCACTACCTTCGCCACTGCCAAGAGCACAAGCTGGACCCCGTGAATGCAGCCTCCTTTGGGAAACTGATCCGTTCTGTGTTTATGGGGCTAAGGACACGGCGGTTGGGCACCAGGTGGGTAGACGCCAAGTTGATGAAGCCGACTGTCTGATCACCCCCACCCGTCCAGCTCCCTCTTGCTTTCTCTAGAAATTGAAAGCTTTGCAGACAACACAGAGCTGCTTCTTCTTGCCCTGACTCATAGCCATCTCTGGGTGAACCTGGCGTGGCTCCGAGTTGGCCATGACATACAGCATTGACTGTGAACCCCATTCTTTTCTTTAGAAGCCAGTGATGGCACTTGGAGGTTCATTCTGGTTTTCTCTCTCCTTTTGAAATTTCCCATGACGGCAAGTTTAAAAAAAAAAATCAGCCTCTAGGCCGGGCTGATGGCTTATACCTGTAATCCCAGCACTTTTGCCTATAATCCCAGCACTTTCAGATGCCAAAGCAGAAAGATTACTTGAGGTCAGCCTGGGCAACATAGCAAGACGCCCATCTTGGAGAAAAAAAGAGTACCTGTCTTCTTGTCAGGATGCCTGCAAAGGGAGTTGATCCTGGGCTGTTTGGTTTCTAGGGGCAACTCAAAGTATCATTATTATGGGATCCGCCTGAAGCCAGACTCCCCCCTGAACCGACTACAGGAAGACACCCAGTATATGGCCATGCGGCAGCAGCCCCTGCACCAGAAGCCCAGGTGGGTGGCTTCTCAGACATAGCTGCAAAGTGAACTCACTCGCACCACCCAGCCCCAGCATCCTGAGGGAGCCAGGATACTCATCTGTGCTGAGAGCACCTCAGGCTGGCAGGAAGTGTGGGCAGCTGGGAAGCAATTCTATCTAGCTAACAGTTTTCACATGTTTAATTTTTTAAAGTAGATTTTGATTTTTAGAGCAGTTCTAAGTTCACAGTGAAATTGAGTGGAAGGTACACAGAGTTTCCATACATTCCCTGCCCCTATATCTACACAGCAGCCACCCCAGAGCAGTACTGGTCACGATGTATGAACCTCATGGGCACCTTATTATCACGCAGGGTCCTTGGTCTGCATTCAGGGTCACTCTTAGTGGTGTACATTCTGTGGGTTTCTCCACCATCACAACATCACAGAGAGTAGTCCCACTGCTCTAAAAATCCCCTGTGCTCCCCCCATTCCTCTCTCTTCCCTCCCCCCTTCCTCCCTCTTCCCCCAAAACCCTGGCAACCACTGATCCTTTACTGCCTCCATTGCTCTACCTTTCCCAGAATGGAATAGTTGGCATTGTAGGTCTTTCATTTTTTAAAATTTAGAGAAAAAAAAGAAGAGAACACTGCAAATAAACCAAGAAGCCAGGAGAACGAAGCAAATAGACTCAAGTTGCTACCACTTCCTGACACTTTGGGTTTTTTGTTTGTTGTTTGGCAGTTTGGGGCCAGGGCTGGATTTGAACCCACCACCTCTAGCATATGGGGCCGGCACCCTACTCCTTTGAGCCACAGGCGCCACCTGCTTCCTGACACTTTGATCCAATGGCTAAAAGGCCTGGTGTGGTCTGGAATGCCGTCTTCTCCACCTCACAAACTTCCTCATCCTCCCAGCCAGGGTCAGCACCTTTTTTTAAAGAACCAGACTGCAACTATCTTAGCCTTCCAGGGAGATGGTTTCTGCAACATCTGCTCAATTCCTGCTGCTGTCAGGAAATCATCCTCATGTAGCACACAAACCAGTGGATGTGGCTGTGTGCAAATAAAAGTTTATTTACAAAAACAAGGGACAGGCCCGGCGCCTATAGCTCAACCGGCTAAGGCACCAGCCACGTACACCTAAGGTGACGGGTTCAAATCCCCAGCCCGGACCTGCCAAACAACAATGATGGCTGCAACCAAAAAATAGCCGGGCGTTGTGGCGGGCGCCTGTAGTCCCAGCTACTTGGGAGGCGGAGGCAGGAGACTCCCTTGAGCCCAGGAGTTGGAGGTTGCTGTGAGCGTGATGCCATGGCACTCTACCCAGGGGGACAGCTTGAGGCTCTGTCTCAAAAAAAAAAAAAAAAACAAGGGACAGAATCGGCCCCCAGTCCATAGTTTGCCAATGGCTAGTTTAGGACCCACTCAAATGACACCACCCCTAGCCTTGTGGTGTGTCCCCACAGGCCAAAGAGCACTTCCTCTCTCTCCTTGGCCCTCTGTCTGGATGGTTTAAGAGCAGGACCTATCACAGTTGACCTTCACACCTATAGCCTACCTGCCAAACACATGAACACAGCCACTCCTGAGTCTGTGTGACTAAAAAGCCCAGTGACTCCTAACCATAGCCACTCATGTGAGTTGGAGGTCACAGAAAAAAGTTCATAGAACATTCTCTGGAAGCCAACAGATAAGAATGAGGCCAATCAGCCACCCGCATTATGCTGTCTGTGATCACAGGCCCTGTAGCTTGGCACTACTGTCATTCACTTTTGGCTCCTGGAAAACTCCTGAAGTCAATCTGTACTCTAGGCAGTATGTTATTTTAGGAGCGGCCACATGTTTCATGGGGACAGGCTGATGCCATGTGTGTGTGGGAGGCCATTGCCTGACCGTGTGTCCAACGCTCAGACAGACCGCACCTCACCAGCATGCTTCTCCCATAACACAGTGGGCCCAGCCCCCTTTCTCTGTGAGGAAAAGTGCTCGCAGCTGGGGCTGACTCCAACCCTGCTTTCCCCACTGTGTGCTGTCTGGGGAGGCCTGCTTCTATTAGCATTTCTTAGGCTCCTGCCTAAGCAAAGTCACAGAATCTCCTTTGATATCACACAGTAGTAAGGATGTTTGTGATTCCATGTAACAAATTTCACTTGTCTTCTAAGAGAGAATTAGGGGGAGAAATAGGTACATACAACCCAAGTGTCCGTCAAAACTGGGGTCTACACACTCAATAGAATATTATTCAGCCCTAAAAAGGAAGAAAATTCTGACACTTGCTAAAACGCTGGAAAACCTTGAGTACATGATGCTTAGTGACAGAAGCCAAGGCACAAAAGGACAAAGCCTATGCAATCCCATTCACAGGAGGGCTCTAGAGTCAGCAGGTTCACAGAGATAGGAAGAAGAAGGTGGGTGCTGGGGACTGGGGAGAGGGGGAAGAGTTAGTGTCTCTTGGGGACAGAATATCAGTTTGGGAAGATAAGAAGATTCTGGAGATGGAGGGTGGTGACAGTTGCATAACAATGTGAGTGTGCTTAATGCCACTGAGCAGTGCCCCTAAAAATGGTTAAAGTGGTAACTTTTGTGTTGCATGTACTTGACCACAACTTGTATACATACACACACATTCCATCCTGTACAGCCCCTGCTCCTAGAGTCTAACCCAGGCAGCACTGCTGGGCCTCATGTTGGCATATGTTTCCCCTGCCCAGGTACCGGCCAGCTCAGAAGACAGACAGCCTCGGGGACAATGGCTCCCATAGCAGCCTGCACAGCACACCTGAGCAGGCCATGGCTGCACAGAGCCAGCACCACCAGCAGTACATAGGTGAGTGGCTCCCGGACAGGGCCTCCCCGGGCAGCCTGGGGCATGTGCCTTTCAGCATCAGCAGCACTTCAGTGCTACTTTTGACAGTTTTCTCATATGACACCTCTTCAGGCAAATACAAAGTTCTAGATAGACTTTCTGGTATCTCTGAACTGTTAGAACAGTCAGCTAAAACAACATCAGTAAATGTTGTAAATGACTATCAGTAAAATGAAACAGCCAGCAGAGAGGCAGGATTCTCTGGCACAGCATGGTCTGTCTCCTCCCTGTGTACTCCTCCCATTCAGCAAGAGCTTTTAGGGCACCTTGGCCTCTTCCCTGTGTGCTGCTTAGGGGACACTGTCCCAACCAGCTGGCCAAACAGTGGTGCTATCTCTGCCCCAGGAGGGCATCCTAATGCAGAACCTGTCTCAGGGATACCTATAGGATGCTCATGGTGTCACCAATATTATCATTCAGGGGACTCTGAGGACACTCAGGAGCTTCCCTGTACTTTCACTGTATTTTTTGAGCCTGGACAGAACCCTGCTTGGTTGAGTGTTCTGAAGAGACTGCGATGGTGTGAGGCCTGTCTCTAGGAGGTCACTGCAGGGACACTGTGGCTAGCTGCCTCCCAGAGGCACTGCCCTAGGCTGGCTCTGTGGGTGCCTGCTGTGCTGACAAGGATGGCAATTCTGAGCACTTCTTATGTTCCGGCACCTGGGCTCAAGGTTTCTGCAGCTATTAATGGCCCCCATTTTCCTAAGAGCCCCATTTCTAAAGTTCTGTGTTCCTCCCCCAGATGTCTCCCATGTCTTCCCAGACTTCCCAGCACCTGACCTGGACAGTGTCCTGTTGCAAGAGAGCCTCACCCTGCATGATGTCAAGGCCCTGCAGCTGGCATACAGACAGCACTGCGAGGTGACTACCCCACATCTCTCACCAGAACTGCCACAAGTGTCCTCAGGTGTCGCCAGGTGTCCTCAGCAACACCAAGGAGACAGGAGCCCTAAGTCACCACCCCACGTGTCCTCCCTCAGAGCAGGGGCCTCCATCCACTTCTAGCACCTGCTTCTTTGCTCTCCTGGGATCTCTGTCAGGATTTTAGAAGACCTCACTGTGACCTACATCCTGGCTCCTTACTTGCCATGTTGTGGGGACACAGGATGGATACACACCCTCATCTAACTGATGAGTTTTATTCCTAGGCAACTCTAGATGTTGTGATGAACCTCCAGTTCCACTACATTGAGAAGCTGTGGCTGTCCTTCTGGAACTCTAAGGCCTCCTCCAGTGATGGCCCAACCCCTCTACCTGCCAGGTGACTGCCCAGCATCTCAGCAAGCCACACAGCTGCATCTTGACTCAGTTCACAGGCCTCTGCAGTCTCAACCCCACAGGCTGTCCCCTGCTAATGCTTGTATCTGACCCACAGACAAGGGTGTCAGCTCTCCAAGAAGCAGAGCTCAGCCCCTCCTCTGACCCTGTCATTCTCAGACTTGGTAGAGTTGTTCTGTAATGCATGTAGCCATTTGCCCCTTTTCAAATCAGATAGTTTGAACCCAGAGGTGACCATGATACAATCCCAAATAGAAGAGACCTCAACGCTTTTTTTTAGAGATAGAGTCTCACTTTGTCACTCTCAGTAGAGTGCTGTGGCGTCACAGCTCACAGCAACCTCCAGCTCTTGGGCTTAGGTGATTCTCTTGCCTCAGCCTCCCGAGTAGCTGGGACTACAGGTGCCCGCCATAACACCCAGCTATTTTGTTGTTGCAGTTTGGCCGGGGCTGGGTTTGAACCTGCCACCCTCAGTATATGGGGCCGGCGCCCTACTCAGTGAGTCACAGGTGCCACCTCTCACCTCTTAACGTCAGGAAGATACCTCATGTTGGCCACAAGCAGGGGAAGGAGCAGTGTGGTTCCCTAGAGAAAATATAGAGGCTCTAGGGTGGCAGCCTGGGAGCAGCATGGAGTGGGGCAGTCAGGGCTCCAGCACACCACCACCCAGCCCTCTGCTCATGTCAGTCCAGTTCAGTCATCCCCTGCTGACTCACTCACCCAGACCCAGCCAGCTCAGCACTGTGCTCCTCCTTCCACAGTGATGAAGAGCCTGAAGGCACCGTCCTGCCCAAGGACAAGCTCATCTCCCTGTGTAAACATGACTCCATCCTCAAATGGATGAGGAGCTGTGACCACATCCTCTACCAGGCCCTGGTGGAGATTCTCATCCCCGATGTGCTGCGGCCAGTCCCCAGTAAGCAGACCCTGCCCTGCTGCTTCGACTTCTACTTTTCTGTCTCCCCATACAGTTCAGCCACCATATGCCCCTCTCTTTCACAAGAATCCAGAGGCCTGAGTAGCAGTCAGCCATCCCCAGGCTGGGACCCTCTAGCACCTGTGCTCTTCCTTTCTTCCAACCCAAGGGAGCTCACAGTGTCTCTAGGGAGCTCTGCCCACCAAGAGCAGGCCAGGCAAGGTTTAGTGCTTTATGGAAGGTTTTCTGGGGGCATGAAAGCCAGCCTCTGAGAGCAGCCTGGTCACAACCCATAGCCATCACTATGGGGAAACGATGGCCCAGGGCCTCATGGGGGTGCTGCCCCTACAGAGTGTGAACAGTCATGCCAGGAGCATCCCCAGGTATTGCCTATTGTCCCCTAGGGTGGGATCACCCCAGGTGAAACTCACCCTGAACAGTGAGGACAGTGGGGACAGACAACAATGGCCATCCCTAGCCCTTCCTCAGAGGCTGTTACTGCCTGCTCACTTGTTCTCCTTCCTTCCATGTCACTTGTTCTTCCAGGTGGTCATTTTCATTGTATTTGCATCATCTCTGACACTCAGTGCTGATTGTCAGGGGCAATCTGCTGCCTTCTTCACTGTTAAAACCACAATCCATGTCTCTCAGGTACCTTGACACAGGCAATACGGAATTTTGCCAAGAGCTTGGAAGGCTGGTTAACGAATGCTATGAGTGACTTCCCACAGCAAGTCATCCAGACCAAGGTAACATGGGGGCAGGGTCTGGGTCCCAGACCCTGCTGGAAGGGTCCTGAGGCAGACAAGAGGAGGGGCCCCAGAGAAAGCCAGCTTCCTCTGTGTGTGTCATGAGAGCAGCTGATACTCTCAGGGAGTCCTGAGGATGTGGTTGATGTAGAGCTGTAGAATAGGTGCTCGGAAGGCGGGAAGATCTCTTGAGCTCAGGAGTTTGAGACTAGCCTAAATAGCATAGAGACCCCATATCTACTAAAAATAGAAAAATCAAGTGGCGCCTATGGCTCAAGGAATAGGGCGCTGGCCCCATATACCGGGGGCGGTGGGTTCAAGCCTGGCCCTGGCCAAAAATGCAAAAAATAAATAAAGAAAGAAAACTAAAAATAGAAAAATTACTGGGCATTGTGGTGCCTATACCTGTAGCTCATTTCAAAAAGCTGAGGCAGAACTTGAGCCCAACAGTTTGAGGCTATGGTGAACTATGATGACACCACTGCACTTTATCCTTGGTGATAGAGTGAGATCTTTTCTCAAAAAAAAAAAAGAGAGAGAGACTTGGGCTACAAGTGGAAAAGAGAATGAATGATTGCCAATCATTCTCCTGAGCATCTCATAAAAAGCTATTGGACACAGATGCAGCAGGTTTCAGGGAATCTGGTCTACCCACCTAAACTTTGGAATTGGTCTGTTAGGCAGTAATTCTAAACGTCAGTGTCCCACCTAGGTAACTGTTAAAATTTCATATTCCCAGCCACGCCCAGGAGGGCCCAGGAATCTGTATTTTCAGCTGAGTGTTAGAGTGCTAAAAGGATTATAGAAGCAGAGTTATAACTACGCTTGCCAGCACTGTAGGGACTGTCAGAGCTGTCCCCTGATGCGCTGGAGAGACCTCTAGCCTTCACTGCCTCGTTCTCTTCAAGTCCTTAGAGTGACTGCGGAGAGGGGGTCTTTGTTCCTTGCAGGAGTTGCTCCCCCCTGCATTGTCCCTGAGCCCACACAGCCCTGCAAGGAGTAGAACAGGACGAGCTCTCCCAAGTGTTCACCATGAGGCCTTGCTTACAGGTTGGTGTTGTCAGTGCCTTTGCCCAGACTCTGCGGAGATACACATCCCTCAATCATCTAGCTCAGGCAGCCCGGGCAGTTCTTCAAAACACATCCCAGATCAACCAGATGCTCAGCGACCTTAACCGCGTGGACTTCGCCAATGTGCAGGTGACTTTCTCCAGTGCAGCTCCCCAGGGCCTCCACCTGCAGATCAGAGATGATGATTGTGTGACCTCAGCCTGCATTTCAGATCTGGGTCCTTCCCTGCACAACTGGCCTAGGCTTTCCACCCTGTGGAAAACGCAGCAAACCTACAAAATCAAGCCCACAGCAAAATCTGGCTCCTAACCCGGGTGCCCAGCCCATGTTACTGCTTCATGAAGCACATCCCAGGTGCTATGACCAACACCTGTGTTCCTCTTCCTTGCAAAGGCTCCCAGCTCCCAAAGTCCTAGCACCACATTCTCCACCCTGTTGCCATTTTTCTGGCTCCATCGCCTGGGCCTGGCAAAGTGTAGGCACACAGCAGGTGGGCAGCAATCAGGTCCTGCGGCCACACTTCTGCCTCACTTTCAGGCCCTACTTCATCCATTAAGTACATAAGTACACACTCACATTTAGAAGGGTGAGCACTTCAAAATAAAACAGAAACATGGTATAGCATGAGCTTTGATCCAGGAAGACCCAGATGTAAGTCCCCAGAAGCCAGTCTTGTCCCCCAGTCCCTGGCACTCTGTTTTACCACCTAGCGATAGACACTAAAGGTGCTTGGCCCCCAACTGTCAAGGCCAAAGGCATGGAAGCTCGAGCATGTCATGGTGTCCCCCCTAGAGGAGAGGGCATCCCTGACAGGTTTGGGGGCCACTGTGTAGCCTGTCTGTGGAGTGTGGCTGATGCTAGCCCATCCTGAACACAGGAGCAAGCCTCTTGGGTCTGCCAGTGTGAAGAAAGCGTGGTACAGCGGCTAGAGCAGGACTTCAAGCTGACTCTGCAACAGCAGAGCTCCCTGGACCAGTGGGCCAGCTGGCTGGACAATGTGGTCACCCAGGTCCTGAAGCAGCATGCAGGCAGCCCCAGCTTCCCCAAGGCTGCCCGGCAATTCTTGCTGAAATGGTCCTTTTACAGGTACGTCCCTCCTGAGTTTTAGGGTTGGAGGAGTTCTGGAAGTGACCCTGCCTGCCTCCTAGTCACTGAACTTAGAGGGAAACGGGGTTTGGGAAGGCACTGAACAAATCCCCAAAACAATTGAGGCTCTGTGGGCCTCATTCCTAGTGGGAACCTCCTGGGAGCAAGCCCAGGACCCCACCCACAGCCTAAAGCTAAATTGGAAGCCTGCACAGACAGACAGAAGTGTTCATGGGGGACTTCTGGAAAAGCTCAGCAGCTGAAGCACACATTTGTCTCTGCTCTGGAGCAAACCCTTTCAAGGGGCAGGGAGAGGTGCTTTTGAAAGGCATAGGCCCACAAGAACAGACCATAGGAGAGCCCAGGGGGCAGATGAGAGACAAGAAGCAGCCTTTGGGAAGTGATGTTGAGGGAGGTGGTTAGTTAGGACAAGCCAAACCAGAAGTTGACATCCAGCCTGCTCACTGCAAAAGTGCAGAAGAGGCAGCCGTAGCAACAGAAAGTCCATATCCCAGTGTCCCCATGTCCCCCACAGACACAGTCTGGTGTGGGTCAGGGGGGTCATATGTATACATGCAACAATTATGTATGAATATAGTAGAACCTCCGTAAGTCGGCCACCCAAGTGACCATACCAAACTGGTCAACATGCGGAGTGGTCCCATTACAAACCAGGCCTACTATGCTGATATGTACATGTGGTGCATATCTGGTCTATGAAAACTAGGTCAACATAAGGAGGTGGTCAGCTATGGATGTTCCACTGAAAGGAAGTTGATCCCAGGCAGTGGGCTCTCAACTTTGAGGCTGTCACTGCCATCCACAGGTGACACTCCTTGCTCAGGGAAATCTCAGCTCCTCTCCTAAGGCCCTTCATCCTGGGTTAGTGTTTGAATAACTGGGTGCTAGAGCCCAGCCAAACTAACCATCACAGAAAGTAACTACAGGAGAGAAGAAATAAGGAAAAGCATGACAGATAGAAAGGCGCAATCCAAAAGGTTCAATATTCAGCTAATATTAATTTCTTTTTTAAGAGAAGAAAAGAAAATAATAAAAACATAATCAAGAAATACCTTTTCTGGGTGGTGCCTGTAGCTCAGTGGGTAGGGCGCCAGCCACAGGAGGCTGGTGGGTTCAAACCCGGCCTGGGCTTGCTAAACAACAATGATAACTGCAACAAACAAAAAAAATAGCCGGGTGTTGTGATGGGTGCCTGTAGTCCCAGCTACTTGGGATGCTGAGACAGGAGAATCACTTAAGCCCACGAGTTTGTGATGCCATAGCACTCAACCTAGGGCAACAGCTTGAGACTCTTTTATCTTCAAAAAAAACGAAACAAAAACAAAAGAAAATACCTCTTGTTAGCAGAAGATCAATTAGCTAAATATAAATTTTTTTTTTCCTTTGGAGGCAGTGTCTCACTTTGTCATCTTAGGTAGAGTGCTGTGGCACCACAGCTCATACGAACCTCAAACTCTTAGGCACAAGCAATTCTCTTGCCTCAGGTTCCCAATTAGCTGGGACTACAGGTGCCCATCACTACACCTGGCTACTTTTAGAGATGGGATCTCACTCTAGCTCAGGCAGGTCTCAAACCTGGGAGCTCAGGCAATCCACCTGCCTCAGCCTCCCAGAGTGCTGGGATTATAGGCGTGAGCCACCTCACCCAGCCCAGCTAAATGTAAATTTTTTTTTTTAAGTACTTTGAGAGGCTAAGGTAGGGGGGTATCTCTTGAGCTCAGGAGTTCAAGACCAGCCTGGGCAACATAACAAGACCCCATCTCTACAAAAAAGTTTTAAATTAGCCAGGAGGGGTAGTGGCATCTGTAACCCCAGCTACTCGGGAGGCTAAAGTGAGAGGATTGCTTGAGCCCAGGAGTTCGAGGATACAGTGAGCTGTGACTGCACCACCTCATTCAAGCCTGAGTAACAGAGCGAGACCCTGTCTCTAAAAAGTAATAGTATAGAGAGTAAAAATTCAAAAATAAAAAAGATATCTCAAAACCGAAGGGTACATGTCTCCAAATTGAAAAAGTTGCCAAGTTCCCAGCACAACAAAGAAGCCTCTGGAGGAACACACCTCCCTGTGGAATTTCAGGACAGCACACTTAGACCAATCACAGAAGGTCCCAGAGAGAGAACAGGCTAGGAACCAGAGCAACGTCAGATTTCCAAGCAAAAATGCAGACATCTAGGAGGCTGTGGAGCAGGGTCCTCAGATCTCTGAAGGGAAATTATTTCCAGGTAACCTGTGCAGACCAGGGCAGCAGAGCCAAGGCTTCAGCAGGGATGTTGCCCAGAATAAGACCTGCACAGACCAGCCTCACTGAGTGATAAACACAGGGGAAATTACGCATCTTTTTCTAAAAAGGGCCAGTTATTACCCCCTGAAAACAATAACACCAAGGCTGTGGGGTGGTTGGGTGCAGCATGACAGCACCCCATCCTCATGGGGGTGGGCTTTGGGGAAAGGTGTTAGGGGCCAACCTGGGTGCAAGAGGAGGTTTGGAGCTATGGTTAATAACTAAATATGAACAGCTTTGGTGTTTTTGTTGTTGTTGCTGTTGTTTGTAAACAGGGTCTCGCTCTGTCACCCAGGCTGGAGTGCAGTGGCATGATCACAGCTCAGTGCAGCCTCCAACTCGGAGCTCAAGCAGGCTCCTGCCTCTCGGTGTTATCCATAGCGTGTCTCTCTTTGCTTTTCTAGTCCTTCCTGTTCCCTTCTTTCCTACATCAGCTATGAGAGCTTGTGAGTTTTACTGTGAGATGGGCCTCGGGCTAGAGACTACCGGCAGATGTGGTTGGAGGCCACAGTTTTTGACCAGATGCCACATTGTATAATTCCTGTAGATCAGGGGTTGCCTTTTCTATAAAGAGCCAGATAGTATTTGACACAGTCATAGGGAAAGACAACATACGCAGGAGCAGGCATGGTGCGTGCCAGTTAAACTCCATCTGTAGACATGGAGGTGCATTGCATGTAATTTCCGCACATCCACAAAGACCACTCTTGATTCTTTCTGACCATTTTAAAATGTGCAAACCATCCTCAGCTCATAGGCTCAGGGCTGCCTGTGGTCTAGATCTGGACCATGATCTGCCACACCCTTGCTTTAGATGAAGGAGAGTAATACACCCTGGAGGTGACATCAGCCACTAGTCTGTACTCTGACTCAGATCAAAAATGCCACTGGGTAGAGTCAGGAACTGGGAACCAGCTAGAGACAGTCACATTCATGTTTCAGAGCAGCCCTGTGTAGTCTCTGAGAGTGAGTTGGTCAGCCCTGCCCCTGCCAGCTGGTCACACTAGACTTGGGGTATCTGGCAGGTGTAGGACCCAGGGTTCTCAGACAAGCAGGAGGCAGGGCGCACTTTGCTGTCGCAAAGCTTAGACTAAGATCCTAAGATCTAGGGTCCCCAGAAAGGCCTCCCACCTCTGCCCACTTGCCCCCAGCTCCATGGTGATCCGGGACCTGACCCTGCGCAGTGCCGCCAGCTTCGGCTCCTTCCACCTCATCCGCCTGCTATACGACGAGTACATGTTCTACCTGGTCGAGCACCGCGTGGCTGAGGCCACCGGGGAGACACCGATCGCTGTGATGGGGGAGGTGAGGCCCCTCTGCCCTACCCCTGCTCACTGTGACCCTAGCGGACTTCCTGCCTCACCTAGGAGGCCACAGATATCACCCGTGGGTTTCTTTATATAACATGCATCATCTTAAAGTACACAGTACAGTGGCATTTAGTACATTTACAGTGTTCAGTTGTCCACTGCTCTCTAGTTCCAGAACATTCCATCACCCCACAAGGAAACCCATCCCCATCATCAGTCTCTCCCTATCTTTTTCCTGACTCACTGGCAACCACTGCTCTACTCCCCATCTCCGTGGACAGAGTCACACACCATGTGTCCTTCTGTGTCCGGCTTCTTTCATGACGTCCTTGAGGTCCATCCACATTGCAGCCTGTATCAGAGCCTCCTTCCTTGTCATGGCTGAGTGACATTCCACTTTGTGGGTGCACCACGTTGGGTTTGTCCGCTCACCCCTTGCTGGGCATTTGGGTGTCCCCGCTGTTTGGCTGGTGTAAGTCTTCATATGCACACTTGTTTTCAGTTCTTTGGGATCTGCACCTCAGAGTGGACTTGGCAGGCTGTGTGGGGATGCTTTGAGGAAGAAGTGAGGGGATGCTTGATGAATGATGGCAGGGCTCCCAGCATGCTGACTGCTCAGAGAAAGCCCTGGTGTTATGGATTCCTCACAGTAGCCCTGGGCTCTGGGGCAGCCGTGAGGTAGTTTTGTGCCGTGTAGATTCTGGAGTAGAGATAGCTTGGCCCTGGTCCCCACACCAACACTAAAGCCAGAGGAGCCATACCTGAGGGACTGTGGGTACCCCATCCCTCACTGGCCTGAGCAGCTCCTCCCAGAAAGGTGAGAGGGGCCTTGGCCAGACACCTGACAGCATCAGAGGTCCCCCACCACAGGGCAGAACCCCACTCACTTAATTATCCATGAGGATGTAGCTCAAGATGCGCTTGGCTGACATCTCCGGGACTGAAGGGCAGCTGTCACCCTCTTTGGACACCCTGACTCTGGGTTTCTCTTTCAGTTCAATGATCTCGCCTCCCTATCACTGACGCTGCTTGACAAAGGTGGGTACATCCCTGGCTTTCCCACCAAGGAAAAGGCCCTTCCTGGTGTTGTAACCCTTGACTTGGCCTGGCCACCCCATCTCATGACAAGCAGTTGGAAACTGGTGCAGCCTCTTGGCAGGGAAGGCCCATAGAAGCTGACATCCAGATGTCAGAGGGTGCCTGGCCAGCAGCCACATCCCAGTGACTGGCTCGCCTGGCCCAGAACTTTATCCCACCATACCAGGCCCAGAGCAGCAAGACCGTAGTCAGCACTGGGTGGCCCACAGCCTCCTGCACCAACACCCAGAGAGAGAGTGGGACAGGCAGGCCAGAGAGAGCCCAGCCTTGCAGAGAGCATGGCCCAGGCCAGTCAGCTGGTCAGGGGAGGGCATGAGTCACAGGCTCCCTCAACAGGCCAGGAAGACAGGATAGGTCAGAGCAGAGGCTAAGATGGCTGCACAGGCTGCCATGTGTCCTCGAGGCCCTGACCTGTTCATGCCTGTGTAACTTTCTGAATACTTGATTTTCCCTCTCCCTCCCTCCCTCCCATGGCTCCTCCACCCCTATCCTATAGACGACCTTGGTGATGAGCAGCATGGCAATGAGGCCGACCTGGACCCCCCCAGCCTTGGAGAACCCCTGGTGAAGCGGGAGCGCAACGACCCTAACCACACCCTGCAGGGCATCTAACACCCACAGTCGCCTCCCGAGAGGTTCCGAAGATGTTGCCCAGCCACTCTGAGAACCTGGACTTCACCAGCTCTATCACATTCGTGCCTCTTAGATGATGTGATGTTTACTCTGACTCAAGGGAGGCTCCCAGGGTTAGTGCCCTTAAAGGACAAGGTACTGTTCAAGAAGAATGGAGTTGTAGCTGCAGAAGCTCACAGTAGGCTCCCACTGCCCATGGCCGTGTTCTGGGCTTCCAAGTGCCTGAGCAGCCCTCCAGGGGCTTATTCAAGACAAAGTGTCCCCTGACAGAATTGTGAACTTTGGCCAGAGTCCCTAAAGGGTTGTGCTGAGAGCATTGGTCCCTCCATTCAGCTGATACCAGTTTTCAACATGATTTAAAAGAAAAATTTGCAGAGTCTAGGAAGGAAGGGACAGCCTCTGCCCCGCTTGTCCTGCCATTGTTGAACAGGTACAGAGCTCGCCAGCATCCATGGGGTCCCCTCAGGAATCAAAAGCCGAGTGTCGTCACTCTGGTGCCTCTGTCAGGAAAGAATGGACCCATCTCAGCAGCTGTACCTCATAGCCTTTCGTGAACAGGCCATCCTCTGCTTCCCACCCTGCCTGACTCTGCTGGGGCAGGGAGGCCAGTGGCCCATGGGAGGTAGATCCCTAGGCACCAAAGGATTGTACTGAAGCAGCTGGCAATCCCACTGTCCATGGCCGGATCAACAGCCTAAAAAAGAACAAACCATGGATACAGTCCCACTCGTGCCAAGACACAATAGCGTCTTTTTAAAAATTAAAGCCAGAAGTTTTATCAGCAACAAAACAGTTGTGGAGTTCGGTCCAGTTCACAGTCAACACCAAGCCAAACTGCTGGCTCTGGAATCAGTTGTTCCAGGTGGTCAGCATGAATGGCCTTTGGAAGGCAGCCACCCCACAGGTACAAACAAGGTGCCTGTGACCACTCTGTGTAGTCTTCTAGAATGCCTCCCTCTGAATTCACTATCCTGGGGTACTCTGACCCACCTCAACCTCTTCAGAGTCAAAACTCTTTGGGGACAAACAAACACCCTTAACTTTAGATGCTCCAAATTTGCCTCCATGGAAATACGTAGCTGTCGCACTTGGTTAGCTACGTGCAGGAGTCCTGAGTGAGGAAGACAGACCTTGGTCTAGGAAGCACCATCTAATGAAATGCAGTAGTTTCTCTTTTTGGAAATATGTTTATACCAATAGTTTTGTGCTCTAATTGTTATTAGAATGTTTCTTATGAATGTGTATATTGCCGTGTATTCAGTTCTAAGTATTTTATTCTCGTTCACACAGAAGGTATAATGTATAAAGGTACAAATGCACTCATGTGGCCTTTAAAACCCTCCCTTCATGGCTGTGCTTCACTCTGCCTGCACCAGAGCAGAGAGGGACAGGAAGAGAAAGATGCACTCTTACCTTAAAAACAAAAAGTCCATAGTAATCACAATGTTGATCTGATCTTTTATAGTTCAAAACGTAGATGAAATCAGACAGAAGAATGTCTTTAAAATACATGTCTCCTCCCTGGGACACACTTAAGCTCATGGTTAGCAGATTGTAAGGACCTGGCTTTTCTTCCATTTGTGGTAACCAATACAAACTGAGTTTCTGCCTATGCTCTGTTCAGTCTGTCACAGGATCCGCGGGGAGAGAGAGAAATGGCAGTAAAGTCATTCTCATTTTTCATAGTAATAAGCACATTGAGCCTGCCCATCCTTCCCCCAGCCACTCCCCCAGCCTAGCAGTGCCCTTGCGGGTGGGATGCACTCTCCCACCTGTCAGCCCCTGCTGCCCTGGGACAGCACTGCAGCCAGCTTGGCCACTCCAGGCCCAGAGTTGTGTCCTGCTCACATTGTGAGCATAGTAGCCACCTTTAGATGTGGCAGTGACACAGCCATGGCTTCTCCTCAGGGTTTGTCACAATAGCAGTGGGGCCAAACTCCAGGGTCACTTGAGAATCAGTGCATAAGCTTGTCACAAAATGAATGGTTCCTGGACCCTGTCTACTAAGAGTCTGCCTTGGTGAGATTAGGGTGGGGGTGGCTAGAGGACTTGTAGGAGCTCCACAGAGGAGAATGCTGGGTTCAGGAACCAGGGAGAGGGCCCACAGGCTGTCTGACATCCCAGCAAGGCTGGCACAGTTCCTGGGCAGCTACCCCCTGAAATCTGCTTGGGTCCCAAGCTGGTGCCCCTCTGTCCCAGAAGGAAGACCTGGCATCCCAGATGGCACTAGAATCGCCTATCATTCACCTGGGCTGGGAGATCCTTGGCCTGACCTCAGTGTAGTGCTCTGGTCTCACCACCTTGAAATTCTTAATTTTGGAGAAAGGGCCCATGTTTTTCATTTTGTACTTAGCCACCAGGTGTGTGGCTTATCCCGGGGAGCTGCCAGGACTCAGCGTGTCCCTACTGTGCTGACTCCTTCCAGGCTCCAAGCATCAGGTGGGAGTCCACTCCCTCCAACCTCTGGGGGCTGTGATTTCAGACCTGCTGCACCTGAGCCAGATCAGACTAGCAGCCCTTCCACAAGCAGCAGTGCCCCCAGCCTACCCCTCGGAGATCCAGGCCCCATGTGGGACTACAGAGTCCTGGGCAAAAGACCCGGCTGTTCCCTTGGAGCCTGTGAGGCTAGTGATAGAGTGGAAGCTCATAAGCCTGGGTGATGGTGCCCCAGGGTGGCCACCTAAGGAGAGAGGAGTCTGCTCAAGGTCCTCAGGCTGGCAAGTACCTCACAGGGCCCATGATTAGGGTCCTAGGGTGCACATGTCTCACAAATAAGAGGAACCTTGGTCCTTCTAAGCACTGGCAGGAGACACACTAGATGCTTCTCCTGGCCGATCTGCTCTTTTTTACAATCTTTTACGGTAGCTGTTGCCCTCGTTTTACACATGGGAAAATCAAGGCTGCTGGCTGGAATACACACATGATGGCTGGAGCACCAGCACTGGAGGTGGAAGTGTCATGATAAGGATGGCAAAGCAATGACACAGAAGGGGCCTGGGTCCCTAGTGATAATGTAGCTGCTTAATAGCCTACAGACAGACCGCAGAAAGGATGGTCAGGGGGTCTCTTACATGCCCCTGCCTTCACAAACTGGTGGCAGGTTCACACATAACACACGCTCTCTCAGTGGCAGGTATGCTAAGAAGGGAGGATGCTCTGGCTGAGAGTCCCCCTGTTTCCCAGTTTTCCTCCTGCCATTCTGGCTGCTGCCCCTCTGCCCGCTTCTCTTTCCACATCCTTAGTGACTGGGACCATTCCCACAAAGGAAGCAATGCTCCACGTGGGGCCAACTTGCTCCATCTTCTCTCAGAGCCTCACAAGCACCCGGTCCTCAACAGGAAAACAGGAGCTGGGCATCTGCTGCTCCACATGTCTCCACTGAAGCACAGGCCACCATTTGTCCCCTATAGTGCCCTTCCTCTCAGCTCCATAATCCCTAACTGTGTCTTCAAGTAAACTATTTACTTTCATTGGATTTCCCATCTGGAAAAACGATAAAAATACCCACCTCACAGTGCTGTTGAGAGAAATAATATAGGCCAACCACAGTGGCTCACACTTATAATCCCCACATTCTGGGAGGCTGAGGCAGGTGAATTGCCTGAGCTCAGGAGTTTGAGACCAGCCTGAGAAAGAGCGAGACCCTGTCTCTAAAAACAGCTGAGTGTTGTGGTGGTGCCTATAGTCCCTGCTACTTGGGAGGCTGAGGCAAGAGGATCTCTTGAGGCCAGAAATTTGAGGTTGCTGTGAGCTATGATGCCACAGCAGTCTACCAAGGGTAACAAAGGGAGACTCTAACGAAGGAAGGAAGGGAGGGAGAAAGGGAGGGGAGGGGAGGAAGGAAGGAAAGAAAGAGAAAGAGAAGGAAAGGAAGAAAAAACACCACAGTTGGCTCCCGCCTTAATCCCAGAACTCTGGGAGGCTGAGGTAGGAGAATCCCTTGAGCTCAGGAGTTCAAGGCCAGGCTGAGCAAGAGTGAGGCCCCATCTCTACTAGAAATAAAAAAACTAGCCAGGCATTGTGGTGGGTGCCTATAGTCCTAGCTACTCAGAGGTTGAGGCAAGAGGATCACTTGATTTCAAGAGTTTGAGGTTGCGGGCAGCACCTGTGGTTCAGTGAGTAGGGCTCTGGCCCCATATACCCAGGGTGGTGGGTTTGAACCTGGCCCTGGCCAAACTGCAACTAGCTGGGCGTTGTGGTGGGTGCCTGTAGTCCCAGCTGCCCGGGAGGCTGAGGCAAGAGATTCACCTAAGCCCAAGAGCTGGAGGTAGCTGTGAGCTGTGATGCCACAGCACTCTACTGAGGGCGACAAAGTGAAGCTCTTCGCTTTAAAAAAAAAAAAAAAGTTTGAGGTTGCTATAAGCTGTGGTGATACCACTACAAACTACCTAGGGCAACAGAGTGAGACTCTGTCTCCAAAAATTAAAAAAAAAAAAAACAGCACTGGAGTAAGCCTTCAATAAGTGTTTCTCCCTTTGTATACTTGGACAGGTGGGGCTGGATCATTCCTGTGCTGCCCTGGGCCCTGCAGGGTGCTGAATAGCAGCCCTGGCCTCTGCCCACTGCACACCAGGAGTAAACCCCCCTCAGTCCTGACTACCAAAAATGAGTCCATATCCTCTGAGAACTGGAGGCATCTTCCTTTTCAGCACTCAAGTTTTTATTTTTAATTGGTAATTCTTCCAGAAAGGCTTGCTGAATGCTCCCCACCTAGATTAGGATCACTTACACCCCCTGAGTGACCTCCCACACTTTATAGTAATTGTTTGCAAATCTCTCTTTCCCATAAGTTCTGTGGGTGGGTAGATTTCACCTGCCTTGCTCAATGCTGTATTTCCTGGTCTAACAGCTCAGCAGACAGAGAGTGGAAATGCAGGAGTGAGTGAGGAAGGCTTGTCACAGAAGAAGGTACTCTCCACAGAGATCGGGGGGGGGGGGAGGGGGGGGCAGGGAAAGTGTGCCCTGTCAGAGAGAGAAAAAGTCTGGAGGAGGCTGAGGAATGAGCAAACTAAAGGAACTGGATTCAGGCCAGTGTCTGTGGCTCAGTGGGCAGGGCGCAGCCCCATATACTGAGGGTGGCGGGTTCAAACCCAGCCCTGGCCAAACTGCAAATAGCTGGGCACCTGCAAATAAAAAATATCTGGGCATTGTGGCAGGCACCTGTAGTCCCAGCTGCTCGGGAGGCTAAGAAGAGAATTGCCTAAGCCCAGGAGTTGGAGGTTGCTGTGAGCTGTGACGCCACAGCTCTCTACCAAGGGCGATAAAATGAGACTATGTCTCTAAAAATAAAGGGGTGGGGCAGTGCCTGTCGCTCAAAGGAATAGGGTACCCACTCCATATACTGGAGGTGGTGGGTTCAAACCCGGCCCCGGCCAAATACTGCAAAAAAAAAA